CGGGGACAAACTGTCTCGCTCTCGTAATGTCTGTCTGTCTTGCTCTCGTTCTGTCTCTCGTACCACTCTCGGTTCCACTTTTACTTTTGCGCGCTACCTGTCTCACTCTTTTCCGGCCTCCAGTTTTTCCTGCTGGAACCCGCCGCTTAAAGGTGGGGGTCCGCGGACCGGCCATAGAGCCCATAGAGTTAAAGGTGTTGGCCGTTAGCTGTAAAAATCCATAGATTAGACGCACCGTTATATAAGCCGCAGCGTCGAAAAATGGGAAAAAAGGCGCGGCTTATAGTCCGAAAATTACGGTAACCTATAGTTCTCATTCATAACACTCCGTTCGATGTCTCACTATGGAAATCGTAACTCCCGTATTGCCANGAAATAGTTTCATTTCATTTTCATTTACCGTAGTTTTCGGACTATAAGGCGCACCTGAATAAAGTGGAACCGAGAGTGGTATGCCGCTGCTGCGGCTTATATTCAGGTGCGCCTTATAGTCCGAAAACTACGGTAAATGAAAATGAAATGAAACTATTTCCAAACTTCATCGTCACTTTAAATAATAGTGACAAGGTAATAAGCATTGATGTTGTCAGAAATGACTCTCGACCCCTTGCATCATGTCTCTAATGAAATGTGTTGTGTGTGTGTCTCCTCGCTAGTGGACGAAGCTGGAAAAATGGTGTCCGAGGATGGAACAGAGGTCACAGTGGAGGGAGCTGTGGAGGACCAGGAAGTGGAGAAGGATGAGGATGGGCAGGAAGTGATAAAGGTGTACATCTTCAAGGCTGATTCTGGCGAGGATGACATGGGTGAGTTACATTTAAACCTGTACGAAAGTGATTGCCACTAAATACAAAATAAAAGAATATGCTTTATCTAGCTCACAGTTAAAAGTTGTCGTTACATCTACCACTCGGCTCTAATAAGATCAAATAGTAATGTATTTAAATTGTCTTGTTTATTCAAAGAACCTTGATCTGCTGTAGAAGTTATTAGCCAATGGTAATGTTTCTGGCTTCAACTGAAAACTGGTATCTTCAGGTCTTGAAATGATTTAAAATGTTATTCAGGTTCCAATAACGAGGGCCTCAAAAGTCTTTGAGACGATATAGTGAAAATGGTGGTGAGGGCTCAGTCTCTCTGGGGTTGAAAAATAATGTGTCAGATTTTCCAAAAGTGGAAGATTTAAATGGTTTATTTGAATTCTGCAGGAGAATCGGTTGACATCAGCGACGGAGACACGGAGAGTGTGGCGTTAACAGAGTCTTCAGGCCTCCGAGAGAAAATGGTCTACATGTCTGTCGGGGATTCTCATCACAATCAAGGAAACCACGGTGAGTCTGTCGGATCCAACGACTGTGATGATATCATGAAGCTATATGTATCTAGTTTTTAGGGCTGGTAAATGTAAGGCTACAGGTGGGTCCAAGGTTTATATACAGGGTTGCAAACTTGTTACCTTTTGGCGAAATTCGCCGTTTTAAATCCAGAATAGGTAGTTTGTGTGATTCATTTGGTTTGCAATAAAAATATTTATGGGGGGGGGGGTCTGGGACCCGGAGTAATCTGCGGCCGTGAGCCGTTATGTGCCATCATGACACGCATGGTATAATAAGGCTCTGCTGCTCCGAGATGATGGTCTAGCTTCAGCAGCTACATTACCTACGGGTGCGTTCGTTAATATTAACTGCGCGTCCGGAGTCACAGTGGCACAGACTGGACCGCTGGTGAACAGCTGTTAGAACGGGCCGTTCAGGTGTTCAGAGCAGAGCTCCCTGTCGGAGCGGCAGAGCGTGATGTGCACTGAAAAGTTTTTCTGTCGCAATATTATTTAATGAATCGTTGAGCTAGCTAACTAGCATACATTGTCACTATCTGCTAACGTTAGCTTTAGCCTTCGTTTTCTAATAGTTTTTTTCATAGGCTATAAACGGAGGTGGTATAAGTATATATCTTGTACTTGAGTAAAAGTAGAAGCACTCAGATCTTGTACTTGAGTAAAAGTAGAAGTACTCAGGTCTTGTACTTGAGTAAAAGTAGAAGTACTCAGATCTTGTACTTGAGTAAAAGTAAAAAAGTATTATCATCAAAATATAGTTAAAGTAGCGACATTAAAAGTAGTCATTGTGCAGATTGGTCCATTTCAGAATAATATATGTTTTATAATGATTGATCATTAAAGTGTTCTCAAAGCTGGTAAAGGAGCAGCTAGTTTGAATGACTTTGTATACTGCAGGGTAGCTTGTGAATTTACTCCAGGTGGAACTAAAGTCTGATTTAACACTTGATTATATTTCACATCATTCATCCACATCTGTAAAGTAACTAAAGGTATTACATACATGTAGTGGAGGAAAAGTACACTATTTACCTCTGAACTGTAGTGGAGTAGAAGTACAAAGTAGCAAAACATTGAAATACTTAAATAAAGTACAAATATCTCAAAATTGTGCCCAAGTATAGTACTTGTTGAGTTTATGAACTTAGTTACTTTACACCATGTGGCTATAAAGATAAAAAGACTTAAGCCTTGCGCAGAGGCATGAAAATACATTTTCAAAATGCTCAACAGTGCTGCCAAAATTATAAACTGACTGCTACACAATTTAAAATAAATGCTTTTATATATTTCTATTAGATGTGACTCTTTGGCGTTTCCGTTATTATTAACACTGCTGCTTTAGTTGTTCTGACTGCTGAAATCCTCTATTATTCCGTGGGGTGGGGGAGCCGGGAGCTCGGATCCTTGTCACCTTTTTCATACCTGATAAGTTTGCATCCCTGTATAAT